ATCACCTTATAAAGTATATCTACCTTCCCCAATCTTGTGTCCCCTCAATTGAGACCATAATTCAAGAATTCCCAATCAGCATGACTAAAAGGACTGTGATTGCTTTACAATAAAGTAATGCTTGGCATATTTGTGTCCTGTGATGTATCTAAGATGATACCCACTATAAGAGTTACTTCATAGCCAATGATCAAGTTAATGCTGAAATTCTTCACTAGAAGGAAAACAAATCATAGTGGCTGCATAGGCACACTTTTGAAGCAGCTTTGCAAGCTTTGCAAAAGTTGCAGCAGCTTTAATGAAAGAGCTAACATGCTTCATTCACATTTTATTTTATATAAAGCTTCTTGTTCGGATGTTTTGCATACCTCCCAAATTCTGCATGTTGCACTTCTTGTGCAATAGGGACAGTTGGACAACTGTTTGCAAAATAAGATTTTTGTTGCCTACTTTTTAATTTTTGCCTCTTCAGCAGAATAGAAAATAAGAATGGAGTGGAACAGAACAGAACAGAATAGAATAACAGAGTTGGAAGGGACCTTGGATGTTTTCTAGTCCAACCCCCCTGCTCAGGCAGGAAACCCTATACCATTTCAGACAAATGGTTGTACAATCTCTTCTTTAAAAACTTCCAATATTGGAGCATTCACTTCTGGAGGCAGGTTGTTGATTAATTGTTCTGCCAGGACATTTCTTCTTAGTTCTAGGTTGCTTTTCTCCATCCATTGCTTCTTGTCCTGCTCTCAGGTGCTTTGGAGAATAACTTGACATCCTCTTCTTTGTGGCAGCCCCTGAGATATTGGAACACTGCTATCATGTCGCCCCTTCATGTCGTCCTTCTCTTCATTAAACTAGACATACACAATTCCAGCAACCGTTCCTTATATGTTTTAGCCTCCAGTTCCCTAATCATCTTTGTTGCTCTTCTCTGTACTCTTTCTAGAATCTCAACATCTTTTTTACATTGTGGTGACCAAAACTGGATGCAGCATTCCAAGTGTGGCCTTACCAAGTGGTATTAACACTTCACATGATCTTGATTCTATCCCTCTGTTAAAGCAGCCTAGCACTGTTTTGGCTTTTTTGGCAGCTGCAGTACACTGCTGGCTCATATTTAAGTGATTGTCCACTAGGACTCCGAGATCCCTCTCACAGTTACTACTATTGAGCGAGTTTCCCAATATTTAACCGTGGCAGGTTGGTTTGTTTTTACTATAAAATAAACAACCTGCTAAGAGAAATAGTACATTTCAAGCCCAGAAATAAGTACTTGTTCTTGCAATATTTTTAATAGTATCACAAGCTAGCATTAAGTGTTTAATTGTCAGGCTTTGTTTCTTGGTTTATGTATGTACAGTATAGGGACTACTCACAGGGTTCAGCATTCGAGTATTAAATGGATAAATAAATGGATAGATGTAGTTGGCAATTTTAGACATCACGAATGGCTAAGCCATAAATGCTGAAAGATCCATCTCATCAATTTTTACTAGATAAGCTTAAACAGTTTCTAATTTACTGGCAGGTGTCTAAACAAACTAGAACCTTTCCATCAGGTAACCTTTTGGGGACAAAAAACTGTTGTGAGAAAAGGAAATATTCTTCCAATTGATGTAACCGTAGCACAGAGATCATCCAATAAAAAGGTAAGAGTCACAACTTGAGGACTTCTGAGTAGAAATCCCAACTGCATTTGTCGAGAATCTGTCACAATTAAGAATGTTAATATGCTTGCACAGATCAAGAAATTATTAGTGTCACCCACTGGGGTATAAGTGTCTCTCCCCATATATGCATCCATTCATTTAAGCCACCCAGATGTCATGATAGAGTGCTGCTTTAAATCTGTGAATCTTTTTGAATATTCAGTACTTCTGCATAATTATGACCTAAAACATGATCTGTTCTTCATATAAGTCTTAAAACTAAACAAATTCAAAGAGGTTCATAAACTTCTATGCCCCGTTGTATATTTGCTTTCAAATTAGCATTTCTAAAGATATTTATGTTCTTTTCTAAAGATATGTAAAGTTATGATTAATATGCACAGTGAAAAGATTTAAACCTCCCTCCCAGTTTGAAATATGCCCACAAAGTAGAGCATACTCGCATAAAAGTAATACCCTAAATTCTTAGATAGCCATTTAGTGGCAACATTAAAATTAATTTTCTAATGCCCTTTTTTGTTTTGGCTACTAGGTGACAATAATTAAGAATCTTGAGCTGTATGGTTTGGACCCTCAGGCTGTTGCTAGTACCCTTCAGCAAAAGGTTCAAGCTAGCGCCACTATTGTCGCAATCCCTGGAGCAAAGGACAGATCACAAGTCCAGATACAGGGCAATCAGATCAATCATCTTGCTAAACTGCTCTTAGGTAAGTATCTTTGGCATGCTATAATAGTATTCATAAATCACTCTCTTTGGACGAAGGTGGATTCCTGATGACTTCATAGATAGTTCCATGTGGTTTTCTTGGTAGCACCTCAGAACTAGTTTGCCATTGTCCTCTTCTTTTATTTTTACTTTCCAATCTAATAATTAACTCTGGGAAGTCCCCTAAGGATTCCCATCCAAATACTAACCGAACCCACTTTGTGAGTCCAAGCAAAGTTGCTCAGGTGCTGCCACCTGCTGATGAGAATATATTATCAGCTTGCCTGCATTTATTTTTGTTCCTATTAGTGGCATCAAAACACAAAACAAAATATATCAAAGGGACATTCACTTTTACTTTTGATCAGAGTGGAAACACATGAACGTTTTTAGCAAGCAGTGATTCCAAAACTAGTTCTGATGCCACTAATAGAAACTTCTTTGCGAGTATATATACCAATTTGCCACCTTTCTAGTGAACACACATTTGTTCAGTGCTACAAATTACAGCTGGGTGATTCAGTTTCTTAACACTTTAAAGCAATGTTTCTCAACCTCCCCAGCTTTTAAAATGTGTGGACAGGTTGCTGGCTGTGAGATTCTGGAAGTTGAAGTCCACACATCTTAAAGTTGCTGAATTTAGATACACTGCTTTATGGTATTCACAAAAATTGTTGCAAGTACATATATATTCTAGAAAATAAAATGGAATGGCTATTATACATATCATTAGTCCTTTTTATAGTGCTGTGGCAGGTAATCTCTAGATATTGTTAAACTAGTTTCCAGTATCTGTCATCACTAATGGCAACATCTAAGAACCACTGATTCAGATTTTCAGGATGTTTAAAAAGTCTTAGTAAGCTGCAGCTCCTAAGTATTCATTGTGAATACTTCAATGCTAAATGTGAAGTGACTAATATTAATGTTTGATTCTGTTGCAGAGGACTACCAGATACCTTACAGTTATATCCAGGGTCTTAAGAAAGCACCAAAGACGGGGCGGAAGAAATAACCAAGCCTGTACCTCAGATTCAGAGTATGTTATAAATATCGTATTCAGTGGAACTGAATCCAAATGCCTTATAAATAAACTATTTTTATTTAATAGTTAAAATAAAGACTTTTCCCAGATACCTTTGAGGGGATTTTTTCCAACCTATCTTTTTATTTATAATTCAGTTTTTACCAGAATAAGAAACTAAAATTAAAACTCTGTATAGTGGTTATTCAAAATGTTCATAGTATCATATAATCAGAATAGAACTATATGATATCAACATATAATTCATCCCACTTAATAGCTAGTTATTTTGAACTGTTTCTACTGAATAAGGGTGATAGGAATTTGTACTTTATGCCTGCACCTAGTACATGGAATGCAGTGCAATGCAATGCAATATTCCTTATTGACCAAGTGTGACGGGACACACAAGGAATTTGTCTCTGGTCCATAAGTGTACATACAAACAAGTGATAAGTCATAGATCATAAATCATGCAATATAATCATAAATCATAAGATACAAACAAGTGCTAAATCATAAGATACCAGTAGGAGAAAGTAGTAGGAAAGATGAGAACGATGCGAAGATGAGATGTTTGCTATAACGAAAACTGAAAAAAATGAGTCAAGGAGATACCAAGATGGCCAACCTTTTCATTGGAAAAGGCTACAATTAACTTTTTAGAAGTTGATGGCTGCAAATGGGTAGACCCCCTCAAGTATATAAACAGGGATAGTTTTAAAAAAACAGTAATCAGAATTTTTTTTAAAAAAATTGTGAAATGCCTACTTTAGAGCTTTCACAATAGTTTTCATGTGTTTTCAAGCTCAGCCAGTTTTTAGAGGTTATAGTTTGAAAGGCTACCAAGGACTGCAAAGAGTGAAGTCACAGAGTGCAAAAATGCCCCTTGCCTTAAAATGTTTCTTAGCTTTATATCCCACTGTTCCTCTAGGTCAGGGATGTTAAACTGCCAGCCCAGGGGCCGGATGCGTCATGCCAAAACCACGCCCACCCCAATGCTGGCAATGGGAAAAAAGTCACAATACGTTGCAACACGTCACATGACGTCGCGAGTTTGACACCTGTGCTCTAGGTGCCCAAGCTGTTTCCCAGAAGAGCTGGGAAGTAGCTAAACCTGAGTGTGATTGGCCTGACTTGCAAGGATGACAGTGGACTTGACATTGGATTTCCTCAATTTAGCACTTTAACTGAATCTTACCAGCTTTTAGAACATTTTCTCTCTCTCCTGCATGGCTGCAGAATAGCTCTGTGGAATCACTCGACCAACATGCAGTGGATGCAGTCTGGACTCAGAGGCAATTTGGTCTGTGCATTGACAACAATCTAACTTGTGTAATTTATTGGAATGCGTTTCTTGCTCACATAGAAGTAGATGAATATGTAGGATAAATCAGAAGGAAATGGTACCAGTAAAGCTACACAGAAAAATAAAATCTGAAAGATTTCTGTTGGTAATCACACTGGGAGAGAGGAAGTTCAAGATCCTTTGCCTATTAGGAATAGTGAGTCAGTGAGGTGAAAAATTACATCTCTGTTAAAATTAAAATATAACATCACTGATTCTTCATGTGTAATGTTAAGTGAACCCAACACAAAAGAGTTAGGGAACAACTCTTTATTATCCGATATCCTTTATTTTTAATAGTTTCTTACATAGTTTGCATCATATAACCAAATTGAGAAGGAACTTTAAAAAAAGTCAGATGGTGACATTAAAAAAAGTCACAGGGCTGAAACAGTAGTAAAAATAAGTTACAGCATTGCAAAAATGTATTCACTTTGCCCACATAAAAGCTTTCATTAATTCCATTCTATACAAACTGTGTATATGTTTGTAGCTGACTATTCTGAACAGAAATACACACACATACTCACACACACAAACAGATGCAAGCAACATAATATACTAATAAACAAAGGCACTGCTAGCAGTAGTCTGCGCTTTTTAAGTAGGGGCCTCCACATCTAAGGCTTTTGTTCTACCACAGATCAAATGGCTCTGCATTCTCTCCCAATCTAAGTATCATCTTTTTTCTCAGCTTAATGCCCCTAGCTATATAATATTTTTAAAGAAAAAAAAAAAACCACCTGCCTATATACAGGAGGCTTAGTCAGCAGCATTAACATCCATTGCATAAGAAGCCATGCCTTCTATAGAAATGTTCAAGACATGCCAAAGAGAAGAGCAGTAAACAGTTTTCCTCCCTCTTTGATGAAAATAAAACAGAATATATAATATCCTTCTTGGAGAGAAGATCTTTAATGACTTAACAAAACTAACTTCACTCTTCCTTTTCTCTAACTATGTAGACACAAAATACTCCTGGGGTTTCACATTTTTTGTTTCATCAACCATTTCTGCAGTCCTGAGGAAGTTTGTGTGTAGCTTTGCTTCAGCATGAACTTAAGTTAAATTTGCTCCTTGCTTTTCCTGTTTGATTTCTTTTAATTGCAAGATACACCTCTACACATAACCCCACAATGCCAGAGCTGGAAACATTTTTTTCCCTTCATATTCCTCCTCCCCATCCCCACATGCTTAAAGAATCTTCAAAGAAGGCTTTGTCAGGTTCTGACAACGGATTAACTCTTGGCCTAATAAAATTAGAGTCTTAGTACTGGCTTAATTACTGTATCAAATTAATGTAAGAGGAATGATCCTGTTTGTTTTAAACAACAGGCTGGTATTTGCAAAGCAGGGGAAAGGGAGCCTTGAGTTTACTCAGTTATCTGAGCCAAAACATTTACAAGCTGGACTAAATGGCTCCTGCATGCTTAAGCTAGCCCTCAAAGGGGAAATACATGAAACCTAGTTTGACTCAATGAACTCTTGTTGAAAACATCCTCAGAAAAGGGTGGGGCAGGAAAAAATGAAGGAATCATTTGTCTCCACCCAACCTTATAAAGAGAAGAATAAAGAATGCCTCATGTCCTACATCATCTAGCAAACTGCAGCCAGTCACACCAGCCACTCCAATGCAAGACAATCCAATACATTTGTAAGCTGTGCCTGAATATCCCAAAGGATATCCATCCCTATTATACGTGTGTGTATAATTCAGAGTCGGCTTCCAAATGCACAAGATCATCTTGCAGAAGTTGTTCCCATACACCTGCAACTACATCAGAGGCATAGCGTCAAACAGGAAATTCTGTATAAGTGCAAGAGCTTAGATAACAATGCCTATGTTTTTACGTGCACTGCCCATTTCTCATATTATTTGTTCTATTGTCGCATTTACTTTTTAATTCTCCAGTTCAGATTTCAAAAACAGAAACAGAATAGAGTCAGCTATTTGGAACTTACACCTTTAATCAGGTGGCATGACCCTGCAAGGTGAAAGAGCCAGTAAGCTGAGCAGTTGCAAATTGCAACTTACTTTCTACTATATGAATGTCAATAGCACCCAAGATTATTTCCTTTCAGAGGCTTCACTTAAATTCTAGGATAATAGGTAACCAATGCTTCCAATATATATTAATAAAGGCAAATATAACAATCACCTGCCAAAGCCTTCAGAACTGGTTCTGCATTAGGGTAAAGGGGATTCCAACAGTAGGACTATGCAAAGCCCTGTTTAGATCAGAATCCTAAAATCCTAACATCAGAGGGATTTTTTTTTCCTCCAAGAAATGTACTCTTTCTCATGTCCACAGCCATTCCTGAAGTCATGTTGATATTCTGCCACTTCCTTGGCAATTGTTCAGTTCATTTTTCTTGTGCAACAATAGGTTTGGCATCTTTTATCGTGTGTCTCACTTATATCAGACTAAAGTTGTTCTGTTTGCTTATGGTTATGTGGATGAATTGATCACAGAGAACACATTTACTATACATGTCTACTGCACGTAATACAAATCCACAGGTGAGGTATCAGGATGGCAGGAAGGGGAGACAGCCATTTCAGTCCAGCCTTAACATTTGTACAATAAACCAACCAATAAAGTAGACATTCAGCATCACTGCAGTTTCCTGGCAGTACGACCATGGAGAAGGAAAAGCAGCCACCACTTCTGGTACTAGAGGGTCAGTTTCCCTTTGTGTAACTACCAGTTCTAAGCAAAGCTTGGGTTACAACCAAACTGAAAAGTGTCCTGAGAAAGAAAAAGTTGTTCGGTTTTGTTTTTATTTCTTTTAAATATATTTAATTATTTATTTAGGCTCTAAAACTGAGTTTGTTGCTAGCCATATTTGGTTATCCGGGCTTCCCATTTGCTTCTTTCAAGGCTTCTTGCAGTCTTTGTTTAAACTTGCTGTATTTTTTTTGTACTTGTTGTATTTTGTCTTTTTCTTCTCTTTCTAGTATTAGTAAAAAATTCTGTAGCTCTGGAATAGAGAAGTTGTCCCACTAAGGAAGTAAAAAAAACAGAGAGGCTTTAAATTGGCAGGGAAAAAATGCTATTGTAACCTGTGAAAGGCGTCAGTTGCAACAAATTTAATTTGTCAGAAGAAAACCCCATCTCAAAATAATGAATCCTTTGTAATCCTATTTTCCTTCAAGTCATGAGCTTGCTACTCTGAAACTTTCAGAGTAAATAAAAAACTACCTGTAGGAAAGAGTATACACATTATAGTTTTCTAGCTTTCAACCATAAAAAGGCCCGTATCTGCAAAGGGTGATTTTCTAGAACCGTGGTGGCGAACCTATAGCACGTGTGCCACAGGCAGCACGCAGAGCCATCTCTGGTGGCATTTGAGCCATTGCTGGGCCGAGCTGCTCCCTCCTCCTCTCTGCGCATGCACAGTTTGGGAATAAGTGAGAGGCTATAAAAGGAGCAACTTTCTGCGGAAGCAGCATTTGCTGCAGACAGCTTGAGAGCGAGCACGAGTCAGAGCAGACAGCGAGCAAATGAATGAGCATGAGCCAACAGCTTGGTGGCCACGCCCACCCGGTAGCTACGCCCACCCGGCACCCGACGATGCATATGTGGGTTTTGGGTTGCAGTTTGGGCACTTAGTCTCTAAAAGGTTCGCCACCACTGTTCTAGAATATAGTTTTTCATTTTATCATTATTTGTGGCTGAAATTCAAAGGAGATGTAGACAGTTGGATTTAGTTCATAACTGACATTGAAAGTTTACCTGCTGGATACTTACAATAAAAAGGATTTTATACGTTTAAAACAACAACAACGAAGTTTTGGCCCTCTCTTTCCTGCACATTGGAATTGGGGAGGGTGTCAATTGAGGTACTCTCTGAGAGACAGATGGCGGCAAGGCAAATTACCAAGCTATTATTCTGAGTAAAAGCTGAGGACATTATATATAAATCCAGAAGCTTTCTAGGATATAAAGTTGATTCCTTTCATCATCAGCCATGCTGTTACAGTTACCTTAAAAGAAGTTACCCTCTAGCAACTTCCAAACAATTCAAATTTCAAGAAATGCATCTTCAAAGATTATTGCCAAGGTTTGGAAGACTGGGTTATTTTCAGTTTAAAAATTCTCCCTATAATTCAGAGCTTGGTCTTTTATTTCTTAGGCTGTTAACTTCAGAAGCACAGAAGGTCTTTTATTTCTTAGGCTGTTAACTTCAGAAGCACAGAAGAATGTTTTCCTTGGTGCCTGATTAATCTGCCTTGTGACACCTGATCATTTAGTTATATATAGCTGGATTTTAAGCCCCAGAAGTCTGCAGGAAGGTTATTTTGTCCTGTATAATTAAACTTTATTAAGGGTAAAAATTAATTACCCTTAAAAAGGGTAATTAATTAGACATGAAATGCCCTTTGCTTCTGTATTTGCTTCAATATTACACTTATCCTAGAGCACAAGTATCTAATTATGTTTATTATAAGAACCAATAAGATGGGATATTTGCTTTTTCCAACCACTCAGATTCTTTTCTAGAGATTCAAATCACTGTTCGTGTAATGTGATTCTATTTTTGTGTGTCTTTCTTTGCAAATTAGGAAAAATAACAAAACTCATGCAGCAATCAGACCTACCTCAACTTCTCCCGTTTCATTTTCCTTCAACACAAAATTCAGAATATCCGTGTCAGGGCCTGCTAGGAGCCGGAGGTACAAAGGACATTCTGTGACTGGAAGCTTCTGGGAAAGAACTGCAAAAGATAAGCCAATGAAAGTCACCTAGGACCTTTGAAAAGAAAATGCAAATTTCTTCAGATTTGCACGTGTAATTATAGCCAGCCCTATGCACAGAGCCTCTAGAAAAATGGATAGAAAAGGCTGTCACTGCTTCTCATTAAGGATCTTCAGTTCTTCCTTCCTTTACAGCAATTTTAAACATTTATTATTTGTTCTTCGAAACCGGACATGAAAACTGAACGCTGTCATAGGGAAGAAAGCAACCCCAGGTTAAAGAATTGCAGAGAGGTATCAAGTGGAGAACCAGGAGGTTCAGTCCTACAGTAGGCCCTGTGTATCCTTTATTTTTTTAACAGGATGAAGAAATGTAAGAAATGGTTACTAATGTACAGATAGCAGAAACGTTGATGGAATATTTAATGCTCTAGAGAACAGAAATAAGATTTAAAGTGATATTTATAGGTTAGAGAAGTGAACAGATAATAACCAAACTATAAACAAGTAAATTTTTTTCCAGATACTATCCCAAAATGAGAAAATTCTATATTTTCTTCATTCTGATACATTAAATTCAAAATGCAACACGGAGAAAACCAATTTAAGCTGATTTGAAATTTAAGAAATTATATTTAATTCCAAGAAAAGTGAAACACGATTACCATTCATGTTTCTACCAAAGACTATGAAAGTAGACTTGAAAATTTTATCTTACATTTGGATGTGGTGAATGCTGTGAACAAAATAGAAACAGACATAAGAGGTCCCTAAAACATCATTTTTAAGGCTCTTCCTATGTAACTTTCCAACAGATTTATTATTTTTATAACATGGGTATTGAAGTTTATTCTCCCCAGAACTAAGATAGTTAAAAAAAGCTTGATTGCATTAACATTTTTCTTTACTTTCTGCTTTACTTTACTTTTCTTTTTTTTCCAAAAAATCTAATCTTATTCTAATGTTTGTATTTATTATTGTATTTATTATTTTAAGAATTTCAAGTTTTATTGTATGATTTTACTTAGCACTGATTTGATTGTTTATTGTTTTTCTGGTTTTGGCTCCTCTGCCATAGAAGAGACTGTTAGCACAAAAGATTATGAGAACCTGGCAGACTTGTTAGGGAGCAGAGCAGAGGCAGCACCTATGGCAGACTGCACAGGTAGACCACTTGCATAAATTGTCACTTCCAGGGCAGGCAGTTATTTGCAACATTTATTCTGTATCTTTCTCACCTTGACCATCTTTCTGCATCTGTTTGAAAAGTGCAAATTTCTGTGGGTTGTCCACCACCATAAATTTCTTCAGAAGTCCCTGGATCACCTCACTCACAGTTGTTGTGCTGCTGATATGTAACTGTTTGATAGCATCCAAGGGTAGATAGAATGATGTTCTTTTCTCTGTCGTGTTAGCTAAGTTGACTTCTTTGAGAGCATCATGAATAGATGGTGGCCTAATCCCTGCTGGGACTGTCACAGGACGCCTTAGTTTTAGGTGCACTTTGATGAAACCTGTGTAAGTGCCATCGTCATTCTGGGGTTTGGAGAAAAATGAAAAAAGAATAGTTAAAGGCAGATTATCTTTTCTTTGATCTCTATTTCCTAAATGACTTGGAAGAAGCAATTCAGATTATTTTTCTGAAGAAAATCGGAAAGTTTTTGCAATCAAGCAACTTCTAAAACTAATGAACTCCAGCTATGCAATACCCTGGAAGCCCCACATATGATGACATATATCCACTTTCTGAAACATTTTCACAGATACTCTCTGGCTGTTCCAAGCAGCTTTAATGTGTAAGAGAAATGAAGAATAAAAATAACCATTCTAATTACCATTTTAGCTTTTTTAAAAAATGTATACATAACATCCCCATCTTTAACACTGCTGTTTTGAAGTTAAGAAGGTGTCTCCTAAAAATGGGAAATTATTTGCTTATTCTCTTTATTTTAAATGGAAAGTCTATTATCAGATTGAGGGACAACCTTGGTAGTAACACAGAAAACCAGATTAAAACTCTGCTGAACTGAATCTCTTTTTATGAATGGGAAAACTTGTTAGTACTACCTCATTCAGACTAGGTCTATACCAAGACATACCCAGTTTCATCACTCTTTTCTAATTAAAACTTTTAATTGATTGAATCCATTCATATTTATACCTGGAGAAGATCCACAATTAGTGTGATTTTTCTGGTTTCAATACATGAACTACAATTCTAAAGCTTGGTCCAGCCATAGTTTTTGATTCCTCTAAGTACCATTTTTTAATTTTCTTCTTAGAGTCAAGATACGAATACTTGGTTCATTTATTTCACTTGCTCCAGTTCTTTCGGTACTACATTGTTTCTAAAGCTGATTTTTTGGGAGGTGATGCGCAAAGGAATGCAGTCCTTTTACCTTATCACTGTTTCAGTTTCAGGAGCTGGAAACTCTAGAAGGACAGCAAGGTCAAGCCACAGAATTCCAGTGACTGGGAGAATCAATGTCAATGATTTGTACTTGCAAGTCTGTTATTTGGCAGCAGTGTCCTTATAATTCTTCTTTGGGGTATTTTAAGCCACACAATGCTTTATCACTTTGTTTTCTTTAGAAAGACAGAATGCAAGTATTTAAATCAGGGTGCCTGGCTGAGGAATTCTGGGAGTTGAAGTCCACAAGTCATAAAAGGGCCAAGTTTGAAGACCCCTGATTTAAATAAATAGGTAATTGGTTTATCCAATTAATTTGAAAGTTGTCCAAGATACTTTGGATTGAATGAAAACCAGTATCCGCACCTCCCAAAATCGATTTGTCTATGATGGTCCTTATACATACTGAAAGGGAAAAACACAAGAATGCACACTAAAGGGGAATTTACCAAGCTCTCTGCACTTTGGCTGATACCTATTCTGTGGTGGAAAAATATTCTTCCATAAATGAAACTGAGATAGATGTTAAACCACTTTGCAAAGTGATGGGTGGGATTTGTCTCAACTCAACTATCTAAAATAATACAGGTACATCTATTTCTGGAAAATCATTAACTGATATTCAGAGACTACAGAATGTTTCCAAGACTACAGATTTATAGAGACTACAGAATGTTTCCAAGATTCAGATTAACTACAGAACAGTCATCCCACAGCTGCTATATGGCTCAAATCACTTAAATAGCAGCTTGAGGAAAGTTCAGCTGATAGAGAGATACCTCTAAACCAGGGGTGTCAAACTGCCGGTCCACGGGCCGGATGCATCATAGCAAAGCTGCGCCCACCCCATTGCCGGCAATGGAAAAAAAGTTGTGATACGTCATGACACATCACGTCACGTTGTGACCTTGACACCCCTGCTCTAAACTCTCCTCAGTTCAAAAAGTGTTTTTCCTTTGGATCAGCCTCTTAAAAATCATACTTCTAATCAGAATCCCTGTGAACCATGATTAAAACAAAATAAATAAACCAGTTCTTTAAAAGTGGATCCCTGCCAAAATTGCCCATTTGTGCTAATAAATTATGTACCAATCCCACTGAATTTCAGTAACATCAGTTCCATAGGAACATAGACCCAATGTTATAAGTATAGCCAATTCTCTGCTAAAGCAAGGATTTATGCCTACTTATCTATCTTTCTTGCATTCTGCTCTCTCATACAGCAATCCTGTGAGGTAGCTTAGCCTTGGGGAATGGAACTAATGCTTTTTAACCCAGATGAATACTACTTGGTCCAGGTATAAACAACAAATAATTGCTTTATTTAAAGTCTGTCTGAGCTATTAGGATCCCAAGTAAATTTAACAAAACATGTTTCATTATAATGGTTGACAAGCATAACTAGGACTACCACTCTACTTTTTAGGAATTGTGTAAGCCATGCAATGCAGTGTCCAAGTATAAAGAGAAATGAGTGCAAGGAACCCAGGAAAGCCAGGCTAAAAAACTCATTGGATGAGTTCTTCAATAAGGTGGTCTCCTGCTATGCTCTGTTGCAGACTAGCAGAAACCTATCCAAAGGTCCATATGGAGTATAAATCTTATAAGGGATCCATGAAAAAAACAAAATCCAAATGCAAATCATGCAAACAATCAATGTAGTCCTAACGCTCATCATGTGACTGAAGGCGCCAGATGAGAAGGGAGGAAAGACATGAGAAAAGTTGTTTTTGACAATCATTTACTTAATAGTCACCAATAAAACACCAGCATTTTTACTTTAGATAGTTCAACTGGTCTGGCCATTCTTCTTATCAAAGCTCAAAAAGTAAACATTAGGACTGAGCAACACTTCATATTTGAAGGCATAATGTGGTTCGAAAGCTGCAAGGACATACATAGCGTTCCTTAAAGCTACCACACTTTTTCATGATATTCTACAGCTGCTCCTGCAACTACAGGATGATCCCAGGAAAAGAGGCATTTGGTTGAAGAAGAAATTGCAAATATATGCTGCATGCATAATTTGTTTTGCCTTTGAATCCAAATTGTTGCACATCCTAGTAAACATAGCCATTCTTTTTATAGACAATACCAATTAACAGAAGACAGGATTTGTTTTTCAATTATTAAAGATGGGGATGTCCACCTTTTACTATAGCTCTTAGAGTAATAGATAGATTGGTTCCCCCAGAATTTAAGCAAGCTTCCCATCATAAATGCTAAAAGGGAAAATAGTTTTTAAGAGCCACCACAACAAAAGTAGGAAATATCCAAAATTGCAATACCAACCAGCTTCATCAGCAAACAATTGTTGACTTTTGAGTTGTAATTGCTAATCATTTCTTTCAGTTCTTGGATGGTAGGAGGTTTAGGTTTTGCTTCTTCCACTGTCTTTGTTACATTCTAAAACAAAAGATAACAAACAACTAATCAAGGTGAGAAGCAACCTGGAATTAAAGAGAAACTTTCTAACAGAGAGAACAATTAACCAGTGGAATAGCTTGCCTTCAGACGTTGTGGGTGCTTCACCCCTGGAGGTTTTGAAGAAAAGACTTATCTGAAATGGTATAGGTTCTCCTGCTTGAACAGGGGGCTGGACTAGAAGACCTCCAAGGTCCCTTCCAGCTCTATTCTGATTCTGAATACTGAGATAGGTAAACTTGGTAGATAATGATATAAGTTTAATAACAAACCATAAGCAAGCCTAACTTAAGAATGTGCTCACACCAACACGCATTTTACTAAGCTAATATCTGATCTTCAAAATAATGCAGTATATTCCATTGCAGTTGTAAAATGACATTAGAGCAACATGACAACCATTTGACAGCCAGGAGCTATATATTATGTCATTCTGCAAGGGCCATAGTGAACTGAAAATTTTGCTGTCTGACTGTAATTACTTTTTTTTTTTTTTACAAAAGATATGTTGAGGCTAAGTTTGATTTAAACAAATTGTTTCACTTATTGCCAAAAATCATTAAGGACTCATATCTTGATTTAATGCCAATTTGTTGTTTCAATAGTGCAATTTCAGGGAATTCTGGAAACATTTAGAAAGACTTCTGCACTGGAGACAATTCATAAACAAATATGATACCCTCTGTAAGATCTCTGATGTGCAATCTTCTGAAGTTGTTGGGGAAGCCATATTTTGGAGAAGTAATAGGCACTTTGCATGACAGAGCACCCAGAATATGTGCTGAAGGTCCACACTGCTATTAATTGTAGCTAAAAAGGGCCACAGCTTGTAGCTTTGAGAACCTATTCCTAAATTACTGCAAAGTACTGCCTACTTGAGCAGATATGTTCAATGGACAAATTGACACAATGGATACTTAATTCAAAATCAATTTACTGTTGCTTACTCTAAGCCGTTTGTACAGTATTGTTTACGTTTTTAGCTTTGGTCGTATATTTTTAGGACTTTCTGACAACCATGATGACTAAGAACATTACTGTAAAATGTACAATGCTCAGTGCTTCTAGATTCATTATGAATAATAACATTCTGCACACTAGGCCAGTCAGAAACTTTATTTCAGATTGTCTGCCACTAAGCCAGTCAAATCATGCGGCAGATGGTTAAGTTCTCCCCAGATGAGACTAACTGCTATGTTGTAAAAAAAAAAAAAAGCATATCCATAACCAGATATGTAAAGTTGATACAATGTGCCACTAGAGGTTCACTTATTGAACTTAAAAGCCAGCATTAACCAGAAATAGTACATGCAAGAAAAAAATTACTCAAGCCCAACTTCATTATTTTTAAAAAGTGTATAAAGACAAATGATCTTTTTTTGAATGTCAAATTTCAGATTCATGTTGTGGATACAAACTCCTTTATCAGGAGGCACTGATATGGAGTCCTGGGAACTGCGTATTTCTGAAGGACTTTAAAAGGAAGTAATGTTTCTCAAAGGAAGCAGTTACCTCACATTTGGGATATATTTCTGCAGTATATCCAAAACAACCCAAATTCACACCCAATCTTTGACCATTTTGATCAAAAGGATCATCAATAGGTATGTGTGTGTATATATATTAGGGGAAATGCAACTCATCTTCAATCAGTGCAACTGTGTGCAAAGAGGTTGAAGAGAAATGAGAGCCAAATAGATATAGATATAACAGATACAGCACATTTAACTGTGAATTTAAAAGCAAAGTTTATATAAAAAGTATAACAGCATTTCCTTGTTAAAGAACAAATCAGCACTGATTATTGGAAAGCTAAAAAATAACTTGGCATATAGTTTTGACTTTTGACCTGACTGCAAGATCAGAGAGAGTGATGTGTAATTATTCAGTAAGGTGTGATTCCTTCTGTTGACTTTGATATCTTATAAGTCTTAAAATAATTCACCATAATGAAAGAAATGCCTTAAAACCCACACTTCCTTAGAAATAATCCTAACCCTAACTCTTCCAATATGGAAAGTATATCAAATGGAGAAGAATAACAATCAATGAAGCAATTGCTTCTCCTATAATGAACCTGTGCTTAAGTTCAAGCCCTAAGATTGTTAACTGGGCATCACTTATACTCATTAAATGGGGCATAATTTTGGAGCAGGAGTTCATATCATTGGGCTGTACTATTCATTGCAATATGATTTAAATAGGGGTTGGTAACCTGAAGACACCTATTTTAAAATGTAACATTCATAATCATTGACAGTTCTGGCTGGGACTGGTAAAAGCTGAAGAGGCATGAAAGTAGCATGGTGATATCATGAAATAGGATAGAAACAGAACTTAGGTCTGTTTTTTCCCAAGTGTTGGTTTATTTATTCTACTAGGCTTATGAGCTTTTTCAAATCTGAACAGCTTTACGGACTTCCAAAACAGTAAGTAATGTATCAGTAGTAGCAGAGCAATACTTTTACTAAACATGAATATGTTGGAGAAGTCAACCGTACTTTCACTAGAAGCACATAGTTAGAATTTTCTATATATTTTAATGAAAGTCAGTTTGGTATAGTGGTTAATGCATCATACCACAAACTGGGAGACCATGAATTCTAGTCCCACCTTAGGCACAAAGCCAGCTGAATGATCTTGTGCTACTCACTTTCTCTCAACCCTAGGAGACAATGGCAAATCACTTATGAAAAACTTTACCCAGAAACGTCAGGGATTTGTCCAGGCAGTTTCTGCAAATTGGACTTAGCAGCATCTGCTCTGAACCTAACTTAAATACAACTATGTATTCTAAAATTGAGAAATGTTAGCAAAAGTTCTTTAACAAACCATAATGCAACTTAATATTACCAGCTCAGTTCACATACAGAAAAATGAGATAAGATGGTATAGAAGATTGGAGTGTTACCTTGAAATAATGTGAGCTGATGCAAATTTTAACTATTAGATCGGTGTTGAAGTATGCATAAAATTGCTTTGCTTTATAATACAAGGGAATAATTGGGCAGTTAATATACACTTCAATTTCTTCTCTCTGGGCTTCCAAATATACTATCATATTCTTCAACTGAATAAATATGAGTTTTAGTGGTTCTGGCATTGTTCTCTAGGGGGTCATTTAACAAGGTATCTTGCATGTGAAGTGGAATTAATTTATTCTTATTACACCTCTGTGTTTACTGACAGATGGTTCCACTGTTTCATTGTTAGCAAACAATGTTAAAGTAAAAATGACATACTTTATAAACTCAGCCATCAACCAACAAAGGCATAACTATTACTGTCAGATTATTTAGGATCTGCCAGCAAACTACTACAGACTACAACAGAAACATATAATGTCCAATTCCCCCATCCAGAAACAGAATAGGGTAGGAATAGAATAGAGTAGAGTAGAGTAGAGTAGAGTAGAGTAGAGTAGAGTAGAGTAGAGTAGAGTAGAGTAGAGTAGAGTAGAGTAGAGTAGAGTAGAGTAGAGTAGAATCCAAGGTCTACCATAGTTATCTAGAGTCTGCTACCTAGGTTCAGAACAGATACTGCCATGTATATAGCTCTAAAAATTAAGGGGGGGGGGAGGTTTACTTACAAGATAAAGAAAGATACAGAAGTTAACTCAGATATTCCCAGAATCCTTATTGTTTCTGACAAACAGCATCAGTCTTACTAAAAGTGCAGAAAAATCCTAACATAGTAACACATTTAGTTATTCTGTTACAAGAGGGTAAAAGAAGCCTACATAGTGTGTCTATTTTCCATTTTTAAGTATCTGTTGACTGACTTTATTCACTAAGATATGATACTTTGTTTCCTTAATGGAAAATACAGCTGCTAAAGGATATGCTAGGTTAAATGAGTTTGTTTCATCCATTTCCCTAGCTTTTCTATATAGAGATTTAGATCAATTGGAATGCAAAACTGAAGAATTCTAAAGCTTCTTTCTTTTAGAATCTTATCTCAAATAAACTCTTTATATTTTTGAAAATAGATACTAGCAAAAAGATTACATAGACAACATTATTGAGTTTTTGTCATTTCTCTTTGAAAATAGGAAATCCTGCAATCTTTTAAGGGTGACAGCTTCCTTTTAAGTTGAACCAAAATGCAATAGAACAGGGCTTTTCAACCTTTTCACCCATTGTACCACTTTTAGGATATGGCAATATCCAAGTACTACCAGTTGCCTAGCAAGATGTCAAAAACTTGATGACCCCCCCCAAAAGGAAAAAAATGATAAAGTACAGGTAGTCCTCAACTTACAACAGTTGCTTAGTGACTGTTCGAAGTTACAACAGCACTGAAAAAAAGTGACTTATGTGATTTCATACTTGACCGTTTTTCATATTTGACCGTTTCAGCATTCCCAGGGTCATGTGATTTACATTCAGATGCTTGGCAACTGATTCATATTTATGATGTCTGCAGATCATGTGATCCCCTTTTGCAACCTTTTGACAAGCAAAGTCAATGGGGAAACCAGATTCACTTAACAACCTTTTATATCAGGGGTGTCAAACTCAATTTCATTGAGGATCGCATTAGCATTGTGGTTACCATCAGGGGGAGGGGGTTCCTTCCTTCCTTTTTCCCTCCCACCCTGCCTCCCTCCTTCCCATTCCCATCTCCTTCCTTCCTTCCTTCCTTCCTCCCCTCATTTCCCTGCCTCTCATTCCCATCGCCTTCCTTTCTTTTTCCCTCCCTCCCTGCCTCTCTCCTTCCTTCCTTCCTTCCTTCCTTCCTTCCTTCCTTCCTTCCTTCCTGATCAGCGCTTCTGCAAGGGTGTCAGGCTCAGCAGATGCGCCAGGATCAGCGCCAGGCTCCAGCTGATCATCGATTCTGCAGGGCTCAGCAGAAGCGCCAGGATCAGCGCCAGGCTCCAGCTGATCAGTGCTTCTGCGGGGCTCAGCAGAAGTGCCGATCAGCTGGAGCCCGGTGCTTATCCTGGTGCTTCTGCTGAGCCCTGTCGGCCCTGCAGCTCCAGT